AAGAAGAAATCAAGTTCCTCAAAGAGAAAAAGAAACTATTAGAATAGAACAGACGGTTCAATCTAGTTAGTTGCCAATCTAGTAGCATGTGTAAATTCATGTAGTTGGGGGATTGGAGAAGAAAAAATTGCTGATCAGAACATATTCCATGAAAATATCTGTAGAAAAGAGAGACAAGCTACACTGAAAAAAAATTAATGCAATAAAGTAAGAAACGTTTAAGTCACTTATCCGGTTATCTGGCTCAAGATTTTCACGTCGAAGCACTTTTTTATAAATTTATTTATTCGTCATTTTTAGGATATTACATCGAAAACATATCAAAATCGCTACACAATGCCAGGCGTGTTTTGATGCGTATCAATGCATCTCATCAGGCGATTGTAAATTAATGGCGAGTAAGCGATTTATTTAGATTTAAAAGCAAAATACAGCCTCCTTTTACGAAAAAACAAAAAAGGAACTGGTTATACGGTTTGTGGGCTTTAATCAGATCGACAAATAGAATATGAACTACGGTGAATTTAAATTAAAGGAAGAAACAAAAATTAAGAAATTATTTTACGATGTCATTTCGTAATAAAAAAAATGAAGTGGTAATTTAACAAAAAGCTAGACAAGTTATATGCTTTGTGAGTTTCCTACGTAAAAAAAAAACAAACTATAGTTCATAAAGAAATAGCTTCTTTAAGAAACCAGTAAATTATTTAAACGTATAGATTTACCTGGTAAATTATTATGCAACTGCTGATTAAAGATTCTTTATATAAGATGTTAATAACAATAACCAATCAATGCAAAATGTCAAAAATACAAACCAAATACCAATACATCCGTACAAGGTGTTACTAACACTACCAGGAGATTAATACAAAGTTATATTAAATTCAAATTAATCTTCCCAACAGTGTTATAAGCTATATGCTTACCTGGATAAATCTATTTATATAAAGACAGGTTTATCAAACATCTGGCCCTGATGAGCATTTCGGTACGAAAAGTTGGTCAACGAGATCACTCACTTGAATTTTTCTTGATTCATTGAATATTATAGCTGTAGTTATCAATTGAGCGCTTTTGGGTGGAAGATCTACAAAGCTGAAAAAGCACGTAGAATTCTCGGAATTTTTATGCATTTTCTCAGTTTGAATAGCATTGTTATTATTATTATTATTAAAAAAAGTCTGATAAAATACAGATTGGAAACGGCAAGTGCTTCTGTAATCTTCAAAAGTTTGGAAAAGCCAGGTTATCATACGCCCAATAGCAAATAATTAAAAAAAAAATGGATGGTTTTCAAATATTCGCCTGGGCAGTTTTGAGTCAAGAAACAAAAATCGATAGATGAATACAAATTATGAAACTACAATGGCAGACTAACTGTATTTGTTTGTTTTGTGTATATGTGTGTGCGTACGTGTGTGTGTGTATGTTTGTGTATACGAGAGTGAATCATTAAGTCTGTAGCTTAAAACTTAGTCATACATACACACTGTATTCCAAAGATGTAATTAACCTTCACTGAACTAAAGACAGAGAAAACATTTCATTATATATATATATATATATATATATATATATATATATATATATATATATAGAGAGAGAGAGAGAGAGAGAGAGAGAGAGACAGAGACAGACAGACAGACAGACAGACAGACAGAGATGGATGGACGTTTTACCAGTTTGTGACTCGAAGGATATAATTCCGAGGAGGATATAAATCCAGGAGAGCTCAATGTAGACTACAGAGATCTGTATATATATATATATATATATATATATATATATATATATATATATATATATATATATATATATATAGATAGATAGATAGATAGATAGATAGGTAGATAGATAGATAGATGTGGGTGTGGGTGAGTTTGTGTGTGTTGTTGTGTAAAATAAATACTTTTGGCATCATTAGTTTACTTTCAGCGCCTGTGTCAGGGAGAAAAGGGTTGTGGTATATACGCGTGTGCATCTGTATATGACATCAAAGGTGATCCCATGACGAGAAAAAAGTATTTAGTTTAAACAATATATATATATATATATATATATATATATGTGTATATTTGTGTGTGTGTGTATGTATGTGTGTATATATATATATATATATATATATATATATATATATATATATATATATATATATATACCTTTCTCTGTCTGCTGCGCTTAGGGTAGGATATCCGAATGATGCTAATCAGGAGGGTTTCGATCCCGGTTTTAAGCAACATAATGATGATCTGTGATACAGCAAAACAAATGTGGATGACCATATTATATATATATATATATATATATATATATATATATATATATATATATATATATATATATCAGACACCTGAAGATTACGTGCAAACGCATGAAACTAACAGTCGTGGCCGGTCACTCCCTACCTGGATTTTGATTTAATATTGAATCTCTGCCATCTGTTATGGGATCGAACAGTTTTACCCAGTAAGTAGCTTTTGGGCAAACACTTTTTATGTCTGCTCTTTTTTTGGTTTGAAGATCTAGATCCTTCCCCTTGTCTCTATTTTCACTTATGTCACTGAGAACTTGTCTTTGACATATTGGCAAGCCTTTTCCCGTAGAACTTATTTATTTTTGAGTTTTCAGCTATTTTTAATCCTGGCCGAATTGCTTTACCCTTCAACTGGGCAGGTTTGGTTTGTCCGCCATATTGAACTCGCATGGTTTTGTCCGCCATATTTAACTCGCCTATACGGTACCAATTCTATAATCTACAGCCTCAGGCCGCCTGAAGATTGAGTGCAAACGCAGAAAACTAGCAGTCGTGGCCAATCACTGGATTTTGATATATATATATATATATATATATATATATATATATATAATTTAAATAAAAACAGACCACTTTAAGGTTCCATATAATAAATTATTTCACCACAGCCCTTTTAAAGGACTGCGGATCATCAGACTTTACTTCCAAAGGTTGAAACGAAAAATGAATCTCTTTTTCTTTCTTTCTTCTCTTCTCTCTCTCTCTCTCTATATATATATATATATATATATATATATATATATATATATGTATGTATTTCAATTTCAAGAAATTATAACAAAAATCATGTTGAAATCGTTCCACAAAAGCTTTCATGATTCAATACCTTGATTGTACAAAAGTTTTACCGCTTTTCCGAAAGTTAAAATGGGTGCGTGGTAAAACATAAGGTCAAAGTTAAAAATAGAATTGTCGGTATGTCTTGATTAACCCCTATTTTTAATTCTGACCTTATGTTTTACCCCCACCCCATCATTTGACTTTCGGAAAAGAGGTAACACTTTGTTTTTAAATTTTCTTAAAAATCATTCAATCACCAGTTACTTAACATCGTCTGAAGAAGTACAATCATAGTGTTGAAACATGAAAGCATTTGTTTAGCGATTTCATACTGTTTTTATTATAATCTCTGATAATAAAAATATAATAATAATATATTGCTCTACTTTGTATTGAGCACTTTTTGAAAGTAAATGCTACGAAGAGTAGAATTTTACTCCATCTGTTCTTTTCTCTCATTTATATATATATATATATATATATATATATATTTATATATTTAGTTGGATAGATGTAAGTTTGTGACCCTGGGTTTCACGCTTTAGCGATCGTCAGACAAACTGATTAATGTTTTAAAAATTGGGTTTATGTAGATTGGTATTGGGTTATTTATTTTTTGTCGTTTGTCATTTTCCCACCACTTCCCCAATTGTTGTTACACGCAATCTACATTAACCCAAATTTTTTAAAACATTAATCAGTTTGTCTGACGATGGCTAAAGTGTGAAAAACCCAGGGTCACAAACTCACATCTATCCAACCAAATATGTTAGCTCTATCTCTGATATTGAGCGCTTTTAAGTACCGTATATAATATATAATTATACATATTATATTTATTTATATTTATACATACTTTATTTTATTTATACACACACACACACACACACACACACACACACACACACACACACACACACACATATATATATATATATACACGATAAAACATACATTTATGGTATGCTATATTTGTAGGTAAAATGCTCAGTATCAAAGAAATAGTGTGTCTAAATATAAGCATGGACACTCACATCAACACCATCGGGCGACAGTCTTTCATTTTTCAACGCAGTCCTTCTGTCGAGTATCGGTGTTTCAAGGAAACATGCCCTTAAGTCGAGCGCGTGCGCATGTATGTGTGTGTGTGTGTGTGTGTGTGTGTGTGTGTGTGTGTGGGTGTGATAGAGAGAGAAAGAGACAGGATTAATTCAATGCAATGTAATTTTCCATATTGTTCGTAAAATCTGGGGGGTGAAATATCTGGTAACAAATGAGAAAGAAAGAAATGGATCGATTCAGCTAGCTAGCAGTTGCCCGATTAGCTAGATGAGTAGAACAGTTGGACAGATAGATATTAAGAGTTGAATACATACATACATATTATATATATATATATATATATATATATATATATATATATATATATATATATGTTAGCAGAATGGGATAGACAGATATTAAGAGTTGAATTTATATATATATATATATATATATATATATATATATATATTATGGGATAGATAGATAGATAGATAGATAGATAGATAGATAGATAGATAGATAGATATAGATAGATGTAATAGAAAGTGATGCACCCCGACAGAAATAAACATGCTGAAATTAAGTGTTATAAATAGATAGATAGATAGATAAACTCAATATACTCATATATCAAAATATGATATATATATATATATATATATATAAAATTATACATATACATACATATATATATATATATATATATATATAGAGAGAGAGAGAGAGAGAGAATTAGGGAGAGAAAGCGAGCGAGAGAGATATGTAACAGAAACTACTGCACACTGACAGAAATTAAGATGTTGAAATAATAATAATGATAATAATAATAATAACAATCATGAAATTACCCTGAATTCAGAGCTTGTTCATATCTATCTATACCACTCTCTTACTATCTATCTATCTATCTATCTATCTATCTATCTATCTATCTATCTATCTATCACAGATTGTTCATATCTATCAATCTCAGTATATATATATATATAGATAAATTGTTTTTATCTATCTATCTATCTATCTATCTATCTATCTCTATCATATTGTCTATCTATCAATCATAGTATATATATATATATATATATATATATATATATTTATATATCTATATCTATATATCTATCTATCTATCTATCTATCTATCTATCTATCTATCTATCACATATTGTTCATATCTATCAATCTCAGTATATATATATATATATATATATATATATATATAAAATTGTTTTTATCTATCTATCTATCTATCTATCTATCTATCTATCTATCTATCTATCTATTTCTCCTCTCTTTCTCTCCTCTCTTTATGTATCTTTTTTTTTCTAATTCTATTCATTTCTCTTATAAAATATAACCACATTTGTTCATCTCTTTCTGTTCATATCTTTCACGTCCCCTCTTCCCGTCTCGCTCTCTTTCGATATACATATATATATATATATATATATATATATATATATATATATATATATATATATATATATAAATATCTGTAATTGTCTTTATATCTATCGTTCTTCTTCACACGCAAATACAACACACTTCCGTTTTTCCCAATGCCACCTTATCGTTAAAAAACCCCCAAAAAACTCCAGTATCAAATGACATTTCCCAATCTACCCTCATCTGATTTTACAAATTACATCCCGAAGGCAACATTCGACTTTTTTTTTTGATTCGACAGAAGCGATAATTCCTGTTTCCAGAATTAACTTTATTTATTTATTTATTTTTATTTATTTATTTTATTTTATTTATTTTTTTTGCAGGGAGTCGGGAAGGTATTTTTTATCTACTTATAAAATCCGTCTTTTTACCAGATTAATTGTTGTCTTTGGTTCTTTGATTTTCCTAATCCTTTTTGAAAACTGCTTTCGAAATCCGTTGCTCGACAACAGCAACTGCTCGTTTGGATGGGCGGGTTGTCTTGCTCTGCGTGCCGACATCTCGTTGGGTGGAACGATTGCTTTTTGTATGGAGTTTGCCTTTTCCTGGCAAGGCGTACACCTCGCTGACTTTCTCTCCCTCAGTTACTTCTATTTCTCGAATATCTATCTATCTATCTATCTATCTATCTATCTATCTATCTATCTATCTATCTATCTATCTATCTATCTATCTCAGTCTCTTCATTATCTATCTATCTATCTATCTATCTATCTCTATCTATCTATCTATCTATCTATCTCAGTCTCTTCATTATCTATCTATCTCATTCTCTTCATTATCTATCTATCTATCTATCTATCTATCTATCTATCTATCTATCATCTATCTATCTATCTATCTCTCTCTTCATTATCTATCTATCTATCTATCTATCTATCTATCTATCTATCTATCTCTTCATTATCTATCTATCTATCTATCTATCTTCTATCTATCCTATCTATCTATCGATCTATCTATCTATCTATCTATCTCAGTGTTTCCATATCAATCTATCACAGTTTATCCATATCTATCTATCTATCTATCTATCTATCTATCTATCTATCTATCTATCTATCCATCTATCTCAGTGTTTCCATATCAATCTATCACAGTTTATCCATATCTTCTATCATCTATCTATCTATCTATCTATCTATCTATCTATCTATCTATCATCTATCTCAGTCTCTTCATTATCTATCTATCTATCTATCTATCTATCTATCTATCTATCTATCCATCTATCTATCTATCTCAGTCTCTTCATTATCTATCTATCTATCTATCTATCTATCTATCTATCTAGTGTTTCCATATCAATCTATCACAGTGTATCCATATCAATCTATCACATCTATCTATCTATCTTTCTATCTATCTATCTATCTATCTATCTATCTATCTATCTCAGTCTCTTCATTATCTATCTATCTATCTATCTATCTATCTATCTATCTATCTATCTATCTATCTATCTCAGTCTCTTCATTATCTATCTATCTATCTATCTATCTATCTATCTATCTCAGTGTGTCCATATCAATCTATCACAGTGTATCCATATCTATCTATCTATCTATCTATCTATCTATCTATCTATCTATCTATCTATCTATCTATTTTCCTCACTCCTAACACATTCGCTCAGTTCCATTATATTTACATATGTATAAATATGGGTGTAATATATGTTTAAACTTCTACACCCCCCTACATATACACATATAATCGCTCTCTTTCTCTCTCTCTCACACATACACACACACACGCGCGCGCGCCCACATATGCACACACGCACAGGCATGGGCGCACACACGCACCGGCACGCAGCCACACGTTCCTATAAATATCTTGACTGCAGTCTTTCGTTCTCCGCCCGTATTATCACATAACACTAACAATTTCGATTATCGTCTCCCTCATCGCCTGCCCCCAACCCCCCGCACCCTCATCGGATGTTTCATCTTATTGCATGTTTATCTATTTATTTACTTTTTAATTGAATTCAAACGTTCAACCTTTTCCTGTTTGTCTCTTTGTAATGATGGAATTTCAATCTCTTCCCTCGCCGACCGGCACTGAAGCGCTGGCCAAATTAGGTTTGAAGCGAAAACAATTTGCCAGATAATAATAATAATAATAATAATAATAATAATAATAATAAGAAGAAGAAGAAGAAGAAGAAGAAGAAGTAGTGGTAAAAGAAGTAAAATAAATGGAAAGATATAATATTATGTTAAAATTCTTATTATTATTGATCGCAGTATTATTAGTAATAATAATCATTATACTACTGATTACTATTTTTATTTTTATTATTATTCTTACAATGGCGGTTATAATAATAATAATAATAATAATAATAATGATGATGATAATGAGAAAGAAAGAGGACAAGGATAATGAAGAAGAAAAGAAGAAAGAATATAATAATAATAATAATAATAATAATAATAATAATAATAATTTACACAATACACACTGACAGAACAATCAAGGCCAACCGGCCAGATATTGTTATTAAAGACCACAAACAAAAACGGTGCCTCCTTATTGATATGGCAGTCCCTGCTGACTGCAATGTATCTTTGAAGATATTCAAAAAGTTGTCAAAATACAAGGACCTTGAAATAGAAATCGCGAAAATGTGGCATATGGGAACATGAACAATCCCTGTTGTAGTTGGAGCCCTAGGACTGGTTGGAAAAAATTGGAGTAGACTAATTGAAGGGATTCCTGGAAGTCCATGCCTCAAGGAGACACAAAAAATTGTTCTGACAAGTACAGCCGACACCTTACGAAGGGCTTTATCTATGTAATCTTTTTTTTTTTTTTTTTTTTTTGTCAGTGGAAGTGTCATGACGACAATTCTAACCTTTAGGTCCCAAGGGGACCCGGAAAGAAATGTGTAAACGCCAGAAATCAAAGAAAATAAAAATAATAATAATAATAATAATAATAATAATAATAATAATAATTCGAAGAAGAAGCAGAAGAAAAAGAAGAAGAATGTGCTTTCTTATTGACATGGTTGTCTTTAAAGTTTGTAACATCTCATTGAAGATCTTCAAAAAACTCTCGGAATCTTGAAGTTAAAATCTCAAAAATGTGCCACATGAGTATATCAATAATAGCAATTATAGTTGGATCCCTCAGTTTGAGTACAAAAGATTCCTATAGATTCACTGGCGGGATCCCTGGTATCCATGCCTTAAAGAAATACAAAAAAAAGTACACATAAGTACAGCTTACACATTACGAAGAGCTTTATTGATGTAAAATGTGTGTAACCTTATTTTTTTTCCCTTTTTACAAAAATGAAAAATGGAAAATGTCATGAAGCCATTTCTGACCTTAGGTCTCTGGTTGGGACCCGGAAGGAAATATATATACAACATAAATGAAAGATAATAATAATAATAATAATAATAATAATAATAACTCCTTATTGATCTGGCAGTCCCTGCTGACTGCAACGTATCTTTGAAGATATTCAAAAAGCTGTCAAAATACAAGGACCTTGAAATAGAAATCTCGAAAATGTGGCATATGGGAACATCAACAATCCCTGTTGTAGTTGGAGCCCTAGGACTGGTTGGAAAAGATTGCAGTAGACTAATTGAAGGGATTCCTGGAAGTCCATGCCTCAAGGAGATACAAAAAATTGTTCTGACAAATACAGCCCACAATTTACGAAGGGCATTATCTATGTAATTTTGATTTTTTTTCAGTGGAAAGTGTCATGATGCCATTTCTAAACTTAGGTCCCTGGGCGGGACCCGGAAAGAAATGTGTAAACGCCAGAAATCAAAGAAAATAATAATAATAATAATAATAATAATAATAATAATAATTACTAGAGACACATTTTATCGAATGGATACTTTAGAACAATTCCTTATCTTATGATACTATTGATCATATCTGTCTAGGCTACTCAAACAGAACCAATAACATCTGCAAAATTATTGGTACTAACCTGGCATCTCGGCTTCAGTCCTTTTCCTACCGCTATAATGTACCTTCCATGTGCCTTTTCTATAAATACTTTCATTGTAATTGTTTTGATGTGTTGTTTTGGTATAAGGAATACAATAGGACAATTGAGTCAGTAATTGTGGTTAGCTAAGTTCAAGATAAGCTAGATTGATGGTCAGCCTTCCCACATCCCTCCTTTTAGCCTTGTACCACATTTCAGTATTTGCAAAATGAATATTATTTTCCTCTATGGCACCTTGACTTTATAGCTTTAAGCGCAGAACTAGATTGACAAGAGGGTGTCACCATTTTACAGCTGAAATGGCGAGATTTAACCGTAAGTTCTATGTGAAGAGTTTCTTCTCTTACGCATGTTATTGTTATCTTTTTCTTATCAGTGAGGATTTAGCATGATCTCAGTAATCTCTCTTATTATCCAACACTCGGTAATCCCCTGCGTCTTAATGGTTTTATTCCCTTGCTTGGAGTGAAATGATTATGAGACATAAAATAGGAATTTCAAACAATAAAAGGATGAGCCAGAAATGCGATTTGCAGGTCGGGGACGCTAAAATCAAGCAGGTGCGTAAATTTAAATATATGGTAACTGATTTGACGGAGTGCGACGCTGAGATCGGAAGATATATTA